CCTATCCCCTGTGTGCCTTGGGCTACCCGACCCTCAAACCCTATCTGTTACATGCTCCTGGCACCAAGACACAATAGTCTGCTCTTTTGCTTCTGTTACTAACTGGTTGTCTGTCTGAGCCTGGCAGCAGCTAGTTCGTTCTTCTTTATACCAATAGTAGAGGGTTGACTTCAGAATATTGAATGCCTCAGCTGCTACTTTAAGACTCTCCTGTCTCCCTTCTTTCAGGGACCTGACTGCTGCTGAAATCCAGACTTCATGGCTAGTACTATTGTGTCGCTTGATTCTTGTCATTTTGGTAGGTAGTTTGTTGTTGTATTGCTAATCTTACTCCTCTTACAAGCAGGGTAACCTAATGAACACAGTGTCTTACTTTACTAGAATTGCGCCATTCCGCTTCCCCCTGATGTTCCGGATCCACTGGCACGTAATTTACGTTAGATATTAAGGGATTTTCAGGATTGCCAATTCAAGATTGGCATGTAGACTATTAGATGGTAGATCAAGCAGCTGATATTTCCATAGATAATAATGATAATGATAGTATAGAATTTGTTTAACTCTTTTTCTTTTTTTTTTTTCAATTTATTGTATTCTGTGGACTTGTTTGAGGTTGTATTCTTGTCCAAAGAGTAAAGATATCTTATTCATCACTGCTGATCACTAACTATACATGGCAAGTCAAGATCGCACTAGGGACTTTCGTCATATGGTGCCATGCACTTAAAACATACACCTTGCTCAATGCAACACGTAACGCTCAGCCCTATATGTAATCAAAACCTTACCCTAAATCCACCACCTTTGAAAAAAATTTAACTTTAATTTATAATCTCATATAAGGAATAACATATTAATATAACCAAGCCTTGATTCTATACCTATATGCTCTTCATCTTAATACTCTATGGATTTTTCTTGTTCAAAATTGCATGCAAAGATATCCTCATCTACCTTCTATGTCAAACTCTCAGGCCACTCCTAAGAGGGGTTCCTCTGTATCATCTTCAAATTCAGTTAATCGATCTACCCTTCAAAGTCGTGCCAGAAGAGAGCGAATCCGACAAGCAGATCTTTCTCAAAATAGTAATCAAACAATTTCTTCACCTACAGCTATGTCTGGTCTCCCACAGTCCGCTTCATGTGAAAGTCCAGCTATAAAAAATAGTATGCTAGGAATACGAAATCAAGGTCTTGTATATATTTGTAATAATAATATATTGTGTCTTTCTAGTAGCATCCTCTACGCTAAGAGTACGCAAGTACCGGGCTTGACTACAAGCTGCAAAATTAGCAGCTGCAACTGTAAATTCAAGTCCCGAAATACAAGTAGCCCACCAGGGCTCATATCAAGCGATCAGCTCAGTTCCAATTCCAACCGAGCCCGAGCAGCCGAATGCCCGTGGCACAGTCCAAAGAGACATAGACCCAGCCCAGGAGGATAGCTTAGTCCAAACTGCTACAGATGTAGTAGAGCAAGACAGTTCAGTTAAGACAGTCTTGAGCAAGTGGCCTATCCGGCCAGGATGAAATTTTAAACCATCAGCTGTACGACTCAAGGTTTTGAAAGCTTCAATAAAAGGAATTTCAAAGGTCATAAGACTAGAATCTTGGAAGCCAAAGGTTAATGGCTTGTATTATACTTGGCACTATCAGGTATATCTATTCCTCAAGTTACAGGCCAGACAAGAAAAAAAAGCTCTAGGTGGGCCAGATCTGTTTACTGGAGTGACATCAAAATTGGAAAGTCGGAAAGTGTTGGCTAAGAGAGTAGCAGTGGGAGGTGGTTGGAGTGATTGGGTTAGTCATAGGATTATGCGACAGGAAGTAAGACGGGTCAAGAAACGATCCATTGAAAAGCCAAAGCAAGGCGATCATCGAAGGATCATCAGCATGTTAGAGGATACTGAGACAATACTGGTAGTTCGTACCTACATCAACTCTGTTGGAGAAAGTAAGTTCAACTCTAGCATTCCTTGATTAAGTGTTCCTTGTAGTAAAGTAGAAATATAATACATGGATACTAAAAACCAAAATAGAGTTGACTGCTGGAGGGTTGGCTTGAGCTGTTACCGAATATTGGCATGCCAATAATGATGAAATTAGCAACAGATCAATTTCCAATGTTGCACGAGAGGTTGAAAAGGCCATCTCCTCTGCCACTGCTCAAAGATAGTTACAAAAGCTGGGATTCAAGTGGAAAGAATACAGAAAGGCAGTTTATAATGATGGCCATAAGAGACCAGATATTAAAAGATATCGTGCTGAGGTCTTCCTTCCTCTCCTAGAGTCATACCAGGATCGTCTGATTACTTGGAATGAAAATCTAGAGATTGAACCAAATCTTGAGTTGCAGTTGGGAGTGAAGCAGCCTTTAATCTTTGTTACCCAAGATGAATGTACCTTCAATGCCAATGATGGTGCACATTATCTTTGGGTACATCAGGAGCACCAACCACTTCGCAAAAAAGGCCGCGGAAAGGGACTTCATGTGTCAGACTTCTTATCTCCAATTGGACGCTTGGGCAATGGCGATGCATGTGTAATTTTACCATGTGGTGGAGATGTCTGGTGGACTAGAGAACGATTATTAGTGCAAGTTCAGGAAAAGGCAATTCCTGCCTTCGAAGCGCAATTTCCGGGATGTCAGGCCCTCTTTGCTTTTGACAACTCGAAAAACCATCTCAAGTATGCTGAAAACGCTTTACGAGTTACCAAAATGAACCTTGAACCTGGCGGGCTCAACAAAAAGATTATGCGAGATATCTGGGTAGAGGATATGCATGAACCAAATGGTGGTTATATGCAAACCATGAAACTTCCAAGTAGAATACCTAAAGGTTTAAAGCTAGTCCTTATGGAACGAGGACTCTGGCCTCACAATAAGCCAAATTTCCAAACTCAGTGTTCTATACCTGCTACGAATTCCAAAGGATTAAAATTGAATCCTGCATGCCTCCAGGTTGGCACCTGTTGTGCGCGAGCCTTGTTGGCAGTACAGCCAGACTTTAAGGCCCAAAAGCCAGAATTGCAGGAAGTAATTGAGAAGGCAGGACATAAAGTTATATTCTACCCGGCCTTCCATTGCGAGATCAATTTCATTGAATACTTTTGGAGGGCAGCAAAGCATTTTACACGAAAGAATTGTGAGTACAATTTTGACTCACTACAGCACTTAGTTCCAGTTGCTCTAGCATCTATTCCACAGAGTCTTATCTGGAAGTATCATGCGAGAACTGTACAGATTATGGATGCTTATCGTAATCATGTTGTGTATGCATCTCCAGAGTATGAAAATCTTGTACATAAAAAGTACAAGTCCCATCAGTGGATTAGTACAAGGGCTCTTGATATGGAGCTGGGATAAAGATAGCTAAGGATATTGAGAGGAAATTGCTATGTTTGAGAAATAACATACTATTAATTCTATGAGGTTGTTAGAAGTAAAAGTTAAAATCTTTCTAAAGGTGGTGGATTTAGGGTAAGGTTTTAATTACATATAGGGCTCAGCGTTACGTGTTGCATTGAGCAAGGTGTATGTTTTAAGTGCATGGCACCATATGCCACAAATTCCTGAGATGGCGAATCGCAAGAGTTTTTACGGTACAGTATGGAGGTACAACTCCTAAGTTTTGTATGTTTCAGGGGCCAAGGTCAGCAAACCCTGTGTGTACGGGTAGGACATGCAAAACTTGAGCCCTGTACCTTCGTACAGTAGAGCACTTCCCTGACGGTATGTATTTATTCACTGATGGATTCCTGAATTTCTCTTTTGAACCAACCGACTTAAAATGACTAGCTACCGGTGGTCAATCATCAAACTGCCAGTACTGTATACCGATACCTTGCCATCTCCTCCATCTCATTACCCTCCCAGCTAACTAATAAACTCACTTAGCCCGTGCATGTATATAGTATGTATGGTACGATACCCCATCTCCCTCCTCGAAAAAAAAAAAGCGAGTAAATAAATAAAGAATACACAAAGTGAGCAAGCAAGTGTTTTACAACAACCTGAGAGTAAGACTAAGACTAATAGTAAAGGTAACAACTATCGAGCAAGATACGAAAAACAGGGAACAAGTAACGTGGACGGGAAATTGAATATAAATGAAAATGCCTGCGGTACCCTTCCCTCCCTCCCTCCTTCCTGCCTCTCACCGTATTCTCTCCCCATAATGAGACTTGCGCCGTCTTCCACCACCGCCACCACCATACCAACCGTCAAATGCTCCAGGGAAGAAAGAAGAAAAGGTCTAATATGGATCATGGACAGTTTTGATAGAGCGGCTTTGTTTTTCTTAAAAAAAAAATCTATAAGAGAGGTATGATAGGAGGGGTGTCAATGCCGCTACAACTAGTAGCAGTGCTAGTATGGCCGAGAGAGTATTTATTACCTTTTCTTCGAGCGAGACTTGCTCTTGGAAACACTTGTCGCCGCGGATGCTTTCGAGTCAACGCTGGAGGCTCTAGAAGTTGCGTTCGAGGTGGCTTTACTGTCGCCGCCTTTCTTGGTCTGCTCCACTTGCTTATTCTGCTTTTGTTAGTCTAATCCTAATAATAATGATGTGATACTTTGGGTCCAGGGGAGGATATATGTACCTTTGGAGGTTGTTTGGCAGTCTTCCCATTGATTTCTTTGGCAATGCCAGAATTTGCTTTGCCCTTTTTGGCAGGAGGGCCCTCTTCCTCCTCCTCCTCCTCTCTATCCCTACTCTTCTTAGCCGCTGTGGCCTTAGCGGTAGCTACACCGTTTCCGTTCTCCTCGAATTCCCTAGCTACGGTGGAGATAAGAGTGGTGCACCTTCTGGAAATCTCCAAACTGGTGCGGGAGAGAAAGAACCAGTCAAATCTGAATGTTGGACTCTCGCGGATCTCGTCACGAATCTTTTCGTGGAGATTTTCCGCATCCAACCCAAATTTATCCAATTGGACAAGCAAGAAACGATCCTCCTCCTCAGTGTACACCTTTTTGTTGGTGGTAGAGACGGAATAGCTTAGTTTCAGCTGTTGGAGGGGAACACGGTACATCTCAATCTTCTTACGAAGCATCTTTTTCTGTTGGGAGATCTTCGCTGACTTCTCCTCGCCAGTCTCGATAGTGTTGATGCATTTTTCCCAGTTTGGCATTTCCTTGTACCGCTCCCAGAAAACCTTAGCATACTTGCGAACATCCTTCTCATCCTTCGTCTCCATCTCTTGTGCAATCATCGCGAAATTTCTGCGACCGTATTTAGCCGAAAGTGTGACAAAAGTGCCAAAGTCCTTGCGCGACCAGCTGCTGAATCCTTGTTCCGCAAGATGAGCCTTCTCCGCTTGCTCCTCCTCTGTAAGAGGTGTTGCACTGTCTATTGTGTCTTGCTCCTGATCCCGGGCCGCCTGACGTTCTTCTAGGTCGTCGGCCTCGCCGTCAGGCAGAGGTACTTTGTAGCCTTGTTGTTTCTGCACAATGTGTTAGCAGATTGATCTCATTAGATAGGTCCACAAGCACATGTCACTTGCCCTGAAATACGCCGTCTCGCGCTCCTGAAGCTCAACCAGCTTGGGCGGGTAAAACTGGTGCTCGAGGACATTGACCTGTTTGGGCGCACGAGGCGCTTTCGGTTTTGTATCGGCCGCCTTGTTTCCCGAGGTTAAAACGGTGCGGTAATAATTGTCAATACCATAGCTCTGCTCCTTGCGTTCACGCTTCGCCGGGTTAATCCAATTAGCACTAATGCTCGGCTTCTTGACGGCCGCGAAATTCTCCCCGTTCCATTCATACGCGGAATCAGAGGTAAACTTTTGTAGGTCATCCAAACCGAGCTTAGCGTATCGGGCATTAAGTTCAGCCGTTCTCTCCTCGCCGCGCTTCAAGATAGCGTCTATATCATCCTCAGTCATGTTCTGCGAGATGTTGGCCTCCTTCTCTTTGCCACCTTTGAAGACAAGGTCTGCTCCGTGTTGAATCATTGATAGGAGCTCATCCTTATTGGCCGCGGCTTTCGCCTGCTGCTGAGAACGGCCTTGCTGAATGACCAATTGGTCAAGTCTCAACTTTTGAGCTGCGCGTTCGAGCACCTTCTCCTCGATGGCATTCTCGGTCACAAATCTGAAAACCATCACCTGTTTAGTTTGGCCAATGCGATGGGCACGATCCATGGCCTGGAGATCCGCCTGGGGATTCCAGTCGGAGTCGTAAAGAACGACAATATCCGCCGTGGTCAAGTTGATACCTAAACCGCCAGCTCTTGTAGTAAGCAAGAATATAAACTTCTCGCTGTCAGGTTTGTTGTACTCATCAATCGCCGTGATGCGATCCTCATGGGCGGTGGATCCATCGATGCGGCAGTATGGGTAATCTCTGAAAACACAGTAATCCTCCAAAATATCCAACTGACGTGACATTTGGGAGAAAATGAGAACTCTTGATTTTTGAGCTCTCATGCGCTTCAGAAGCTTGTCGAGCATAACCATTTTGCCAGAATTGGCAATAATGTGCTCATCAGTGGTGTATGGAGGACCGGGCTCGGCGCCTTCGAAGAGATAGGGGTGGTTGCAACATTTGCGCAGCTGCATCACGATATTCAAGAGACGAGTCTTGGACTCACGTTTGCCTCCGGCACCATTCACGGCATCGATATCTTTCTCGAGGATCTTTTGATACCACTTGATTTGCATGCCCGACATGCCAATGTAGACGTTGACCTCTAAGAATGGTAAGCGCTTGTTTCATAGACGGAATGGAATATTGGCATACCCTTCTTGGGCAATAGGCTCTTTTCCACGTCACTCTTGACTCTGCGAAGCAGGAAAGGTCGCAAAACTTTGTGCAGTTGCTGTACGACGACATCTTGATCGCCACCCCGACTCTCAAACCACTCATCGAAAGCAGCGGAGTCGCCAAACACATCAGGCAGAAGGAAATTGAGCAGCGCCCAGAGCTCGTGGAGATTGTTTTGAAGAGGAGTGCCGGTGATAAGGAGTCTGTTGCGGGAATTGAACAAACGGATAATTTGTGCAAGAGCTGACTCTTCATTTTTGATACGGTGTGCCTGTATTTCATGGTTAGGCCTAATACGTCCTTGGGGGTGTCGCAAATAGCTCACCTCGTCGACGATGATATACTCCCAAGCAAATTTCTTCAGGTGCGTCTTTTCCCGAAGGATCATCTCGTAGCTTGTGATCAAACAATCAAAGTCGTCCGTCAAGACACGTTCCTGGATAAGCTTTTGACGCTCCTCCTTTGCTCCTTGCAGGACGAGAACCCTGACATCTGGTGTCCATTTCTCAAATTCCCGCTTCCAATTATCCAGGGTAGACTTCGGAACCGTGATCAAATGTGGCCCCTTTATTCCGGCGACATATCGAAGATAGCCCAGGAACTGTTCATGTCAGCATCCATTGCGCTGAATGAAACATCCGCGGGAGAGCATACGGAAATTGTTTGCAACGTTTTCCCGAGACCCATTTCATCAGCCAAGATACCAGATATCCCGTTCTCATGCAGAGAAATCAGCCAGTTTAAACCTGCAATCTGGTAATCTCTCATTTGCCCCCCCTTGATGAATGTGGGTGATTCGGTAAAGATGGCCGCGGAGCCACCGTCGACGATCTCGTCCTGAAGAAGCTCTTCGTCTTCCTCCTTCTCGGTCCGACGACGCCTATTATCCGTAGAATCTTTCCTATATTTTGCCTGCTGCCTCGATTTTTCCTCCTCTTCAGCCTTTACCCTCTGGTAGTCTGGATTGTTGCTCATGAAATGCCGAAACAAATCTAGAAACAATTGTCAGCTGTGCTCATATTGTGGGCGGAGGGCAAACCTACCTGTGAGCCCAAGCAAATATCTAATTCTCTTCATGGAATCATTTTCCTACAAGAGGCCGGGAGTGTCAGAGAGTCCGAGGCCAGAACAAAATCCATTCCGCACGTCCAACCATTCCCAAATGGCAGGCTGACTGGGTGAAATACCTTCGTTTTATTGAGAGTATCATTCTTCCTCCCAAACGCCTTCTTCTGTTTGTTGGTTGCGGCCGTTCTACGCCGACGCCCATCAGCCGGGTCTTCGACAGAGGTGTCGTCGTCGTCATCGCCATCTCTGTCCGGCTGGTCCTCGTCGTCCTCGTCGCCGCCATCGTTTCCCTAAAAATCAAATACCGTAAATACCGGGAGTGCGTGCGTCAGTTTGTTGACAGCACCTACATTATCCGCATCCTAAAATCACAAAGTCGCGCTCGTCAGCACTCACATTCCCGTTCTCGGGCACTCGACAGTGCACAAAGATCCATAAACCGGAAAATAGACAGCATACGTTCATAGAAATATCAGCGTTGTCGTCCGTCTCATATTTGGTCTGCTTTATATTTTTGGCCGCAATCTGGTCCACCATCTCGGAGTCGGAGACGACTCTACTCTTCCTAGCCTTGACCATCTCGACGCAAGTAGCTGTTGCCGGTCGAATAGCTCTTTTTTTTTCTTTTCCTTTTCCTCTCCTTCTCCTTCGAGGTGATGAGGTGGGGCTGTCTGTATGGTGGGGTATTATAGAGAGGGCGTTGTTGGTTTGGAGAAGAGATTGGGAACGGGGAGATGTTGTGTTGTTGTGGAGGCAAGACGGGGGAGGAAGGAGAAAGTTCAGTGCAGTACCCGCAGCAGCACACTGTACTGTACCTGCCCTACAGACTAATTAGTGCACAGGCGCGTCGCCCAAGAAATTCCTGAATTCCTTTTCCCACGCGAACATCCGCCAAGAAGGGCGTTATCACGCTTACTCATCTCTCTCGACCAAGGACACTATTATATAGAAGGAAATTGCCTTGGTCGATGCTGGTAATCAGGATATCATTTCCCCAGCGTCCCCTACAAGCAGCCCTATCATACTACCTCTACCGGCAGCTCGACAGCATCCCCTTTACCCCAATTGGCAGTCATTGAGCTGAAGAAGCTAGATCAATAAATGGGAGTATGTGGTCGCGAGTAACCCTTCCATTCCATCCGCATAACATCGTGGATAACCATCTTGTCCACCATAACTTACTCGCTGTCATCGCAATCCGCGGCTCTCCACCGGTTAACATGAGCATACCCCATTCCTTAACTCACCTAACTTTATCCACCCCACAGGAAATGGGAGGCAATTTCTCCACAATCCCGATCCCTTAACACTTAACAGCCTTTGGGGCTTGCGATCCCGAGAATCTCGGGCGATTAAAGTTATTTTAACAACCAGACACTCGGTGGGCGTATCACACCGCGGTAAACGGTTTCAGGTTGGGTTTTGGCTGGAATAACCTCCCATGTGCAGTGCTGTACCGGTACCGCCTCTACACCATCCATTCGCTTTTTCACGGAGAGAGAGAGAGCTCCGCTTGCACCTCGACTTAACTTACCCTTGTACTCATCGTAACCTACGAGCCTCGACTCAAGCCGACACTCCTCTCCGCTTCCTGATCTTCTTCCGGGCCTGTAGGGCCAATCCTTTATCCACCCCTCCAACCACAACTCCACCCACCAACGACTGTCATTCTTTCCATCCCGACGATCCTTGGCCACTTGGTCTGCCTGCTTGCCAGCGCTGCCCTCCCTTCATTTCTCAGACATCTCGCTGTCCACACACTCTGCACCACCACCTCCACCACCACCACCACTGCCACCGATGTAAGTTGAACTTCTCTGCTGTGTATTTTTACCTACCGGTACCTTTCGCTTCTACACCTTTCGTCATCATCTTGCAGAGGAAGGGGAATAGAAAGAAGGGGGGGGAAAAAAGAAAAAAAGAAAAAGAAAAAGAAAAAAGGAATTCAAGACCCCTCCCTCCCCTTTCCCCTCCTCCTTTCTCTCAAAACTTCTATGATCCGGTCTCTCCAACATCGATAAACTGTTTTGCATTTCACTAAAGCTTTCATTCCGAAGACAAAAATTTAGGCTCTTCCAACCGCCTAACATTTCGCCCCTCGAAAAAAAAAACTACGTGCGTCGCTTGAACTTGCCCGGAGGGTATCGCAGCCCCCCGCAACACAGTACAAATGGAACGAATGGATATGGATATGACATCGCTCTCCTCGAATCTCCCCAACGAGAACCACGCTCCCGAGGATCCTCCAGACCCAGAACCTGGACCATCCTCAACTCTGCTTTTACAGGCCTTTAAACAGACGGCTCTATCCGTTACCAACCTCTACAAGGCCGCTGCCAACGAGGCGCAACGTTCACGCCGCGATGGAAGGGTTGAAGGTTACCAAGATTGTCTGGAGGACTTCCTGGTTTTCATCGATAGGATCGAGAGCCGTGGGGACCAAAAGACTTTGGCAATGTTACGGCAATGGGCTTTGGGGAGGCGAAGGAAGCTAGCTCCAGGGGCAGGATGGAAGCCGAGGCATAAGAGGGAGGACACTGGTATGGAGGAAGCTATGGACAGCGATGAGATAACAACACCCGTTAACACCGACGCCGAGCGGGCCGAGACGCCCTGTGTAACCTCCCCTTTGTCGGATCATCAACTTCAAGCCGCCCCTCCTACGGTTCCTCCCCTCGCTCCCCCCCCTCCCCAAGCTCACACAGCTCACACCCAACAACAACCATTCAATCCACTTTCCCGGAGATCCTCCCCTACTCACTCCCGTCAACCAAACCCAGGTTTTTCTTTTCGATCGAATCTAGACCTTCCTCGCCACATCCCACCATCCCCCGCGCTTGGTATCAGTGAACATCGTTCGACTGATGTGGACCTGAATTCTCCGCCGACTTCGCCAAATCTCGCCGCTCAGAAGCCAATATTCCACGGAATCTCGGCTAACTCTGGGTCCAACCCTGGCTTCCGGGGGGTGTCTAGGAGCCCGTCCACCGCAGCCATGAACAGGAGCCAAGGCACCAAGAGACGATTCGGATCTATAAGTGACTTTGATTTCTTTGAGATGGCTGAGCTGGAAAAGATGCAGATGAACAGCAAGAGAGGTCGTCACAACCAGTAGCCCGGAGAGCATGAGTATGCCAGACACAAATTACGTATTGGAGTGGTGGTTTCATTTGGGGGATGGTAAGCGGAGCGTTAGGAGGCCTATAGATTGCTTGCTACTTTTGTCATGTTTTCATCCCTCTGTTTTAGGCCATATTATCATTGTTCTCTTTGTGTATTTCTCTTTTCTTCCCTTCTCCCTTTCGGCTTCTGGTGGTGTGATTGCATCTTTACATTGGTTTCAATCTTTCTCTCCCGAGCTGCTTCGGGCATGGGCGATAGACAGCGGGGGGCGGCGGGCGGTCCACTGCGCCAACAAGGCCCACCTACCCGGACCCTGGAAGCCCATGGCGCCGAGAAGGACGTTCTTTCCTTTGTCTCATTCGAGCCTGCACATTTTCCCTTTTACCAACTTTTCATTGCACCCCTTGTTCATACTTTCCCCCCCGGCGCTGTGCTCCCCCATACCGTTATTGACGGCCTACATATTAGCCCCTCTCTATCTTTCCTTCTCTTTTTCACTTTTTTCCCACCGAATACTCCCTCTGTATTCCCATTAATCCTTTTCCTTCCGGGGCGCCGCTTTGCATTAGCATCATTAGAGGTTTGGGTGGTTGGATTGTGTGTTGTTTTACGCCTTGATATGGTGTTCGTATTCATAATTTGGTGTCTGGGTTCTGTTATGTAAATATGCTGTGATATTTGGGAAGATAATTGTGTGCTCACTGTGCTTTGTGAATGCTTAAATCGCTCCAACTGTTCCTCATCTCGAAGTAATCGCACGCAATAACTAGCAGTCAAGTCAGGGTTTCCTTCTCGGTCCCGCCACTCTTTGATATCCCAGGGACCACCGTGTTACCCACTTGGCCCACGTATGTTCCAGCCAGTTTAAAAGGCTTGGCCTGCGGCTGAGCTAAACACCTTTTTCCTTCTTAGCCAAGACCGTTAGATACGGTAGCTCCCTAGTTTTCTTGCTCCTGGGACCTATACTTGCACCTACCCGTCCCGACGAAATTCACTCCTTAGGACTATAACGACAGTCGTTACCGTGATGGTGGTTTCTATTCGGTTGCCCCAATATAACGAGAGCTCCACCCGCCGGACGCGTCGAAGCACACTTTGGCGATTATGGACTCGATACAAGAAAGGTTGGATTATAGGAGTTGTGCTATTTGTTGAGCTAGTACGCTTTTTACTAGTATTCTCCCGGGACGACGATGCACGAGGCCAGTGGGCTGATAAATACGTCGAAGGGGAGGAATCAGAAAATCTTGGGTGGGGGGAGGAGAATCTTGGGAGGGAAGTTAGGGGGGTGAAGAGACTGGTTATTGTCACTTGTCATGCCATCTGGGTCGGGGGAATCGATGGGAAGAATGAGACTGAATGGTAGGTGGGGCCTTATTAAAAACTGCGAGAACTTACTGCGGAATAAGTGAACGAGCTGACCCGGGGAGGTGTGATAAGGATGATTGAAGATTTTCAGACGGGCGAGGTCGACATCTATGTACGACATATTAAAGCCGGGGTTGAAGCTGCATCGGAGGATGCAGAGAGTTTGCTAGTATTCTCTGGGTGGGTTTCTTTCCTGTCCCCCCTCTGTCATCTGCTCGTATGTATGATACCACTGCTAACAACCCCTTAGAGGCGAAACAAAGAGTGCTGCTGGGCCCCTCAGCGAAGCTGAAAGTTACTACGTAACCCACCTAGCCGTTCCGCCAAATCAATTCCCCAGACATGTGCCCGCAATAGCTAATGCCCAAACAGCGTCTAGCTCATGCCTTACATCTCTTCACCCCCGCCCTCCTTCCCAGAACAACAACAGAAATCCACGCCCGGGACTCCTACCAAAACCTCGTATTCTCCATCGCCCGCTTCCACGAACTAACGAACACCTACCCATCCTCAATAACCCTAATCTCCCACGCCTTCAAAGAGCCTCGCTTCCTGCGCAACCACCTCCGCGCAATCTCCTACCCTGAAGACAAATTTCAATTCATCGGAATCGACCCCGAAGAAGGCGTCGGTGACGCAGTCCTCAAAGGTGAAGCGAGGACCCGCCAAGTCTGGGACGGGGATTTGTACGGGTGCAAGAGTGAGGGGGAATTACGAAGGAAGCGGCAGGGACGAAATCCGGGAAGGAGATGGGATGGTGGGTACGGCGTCAGTTGTCCTGAGTTGGGGGAGTTGTTGGCGTATTGTCCCAGTGATGGGGTGAGTGAGTTTGGAGGGGAGCTACCGTGGAGCGAATCCGTTTGAAAAAATCGGTTGAGAAATAATTATGGGAAAAAATAATACTGGGGGAGGTGTTTTGGTCCTAGAGGGCGTTTTTGAAACTGGTGAAATTAGACTGGCCAATTTGTTCATTTTTGGTTCTAGCTTCCCTTTGCTACGATACGGGTGTTATGTGTTAGATATTGGGCGATTTCCTTAACAGAACTTCCTGTACTTATATGTTTATGGGAATTAATATATTAATCACGACTACCTTATTACCGGTACTCGATTCTCTTCACCTCAAACAGGATACCAGAGGTCGTTAGGACCGGTTGGACATGCCGGCCCCTAAACCTCCACACACCACTTACCGTATTAGACTCCATATTACAAGACAGTCCCCAAAACAGCCAGGACAGTTAGAACAGAAAAACTTTAAGGAGGGTAAGAGCAAAAGCCTCAAAAATGATCGTCACTAATATTGAAAGGGGAAAATATTCTCTAGGAGCAGGGCAAGATAAGGTATGATAGAATTTAAGAAAACAAAAAACAATTGTATAATTATTATATGATAGAAGATTCCCTTTCTGATAATCATGAAACTGTGTGGTACATACAGGTGAATACTTGTATTATTACGTGGGATGCCTGATAATGACAAGAAGGAATACCATAACTGTACGTGTATATGATCCCAGAAAATTCCAGGTCCAAACACCAACACGGCGTACGACAGCCCTATACTGCCACAGCCCAACAAGCAAGAACCCCCCCTACACACCTTTTCCCACAATGCATCTTGTCAAGATCTCGAGTGACCATCTATGACCCCACAGCCTGAGTGAGCCGGCCAAGGAAAAGAAGGGGGGGTGGCTTTACTCTCTTGCGTATCGGCGGATAGTGTTTTTGCACTTTTGTATTGAGCTGAGCTGTAAGTAAGTAATTTAGCTTCGTGGGCTGGAGGTGGGTTGATGACTTTTCCCTGAGCACCAATTCCTCAATTTCTTGACTTGTCAATGGTACAGCGACACCTTCAAGCTTGCGAATCTGACCGGTTTGTTTTTTTTTTTTTTTTTTTAATTACTTGGAGGAGGCGTTTGTTTGTGGGTGATATCTTGTAGATGGAGGGGGATTGGGCTAACTGGGTGTCATGCAATTCGGGTATCATAATTCATAGGGGATCCTACGAAATGCTTGGGCCAATTGTTGGTACTGGCGGCACAGCTTCAACTACGGGCTCTGGATTCTATCAGGTGCTGATTCTGCTCAAGAAGAAACGGACAGCTATGATACCCGGGAAACCGTCAAAAAAAAAAAGTTTCCCGAGTGACATTTCATGAGTTGGATAGTTTATCAGCAGGGCCAGCCCTCGCACCCTAAACAGTCACGCCAACCCTCCGCACACACTATAAACAACGCTAAGTCTCCCGGAGGGGGCTAGCGCGCAAAGAATAGTCTTGGCACCTCGCACAGAAGTCAAACCACCACCCAGTGCCAAACTGCTCACCCCTCCGACCCCACGAAGAGCCCGAGCATTCAACAACGTTAACGAACACATTAACGAACACCCTTCTCTTCCTCTAACCCCGAAATTCAGACCACGCCGAGAACGCTTGCTTAATTACAACAAAATGAGTATGCTGCTACCTTTTTTCCGGAGAAACCCTTTCTGGGCGGTATATTTTGTTTGTTTTTTTGTTTGTTTTTTTTGGCTAATGCTGGATGATTGGGAATAATTAGCTGAACAGATGGTTTTGCGTGGAACCCTTGAAGGTATGAAGGTTCCCTCTTATCTTTGCTGGAGGATTGAATTGGATGGGAGGGGGTGTGACAAGGTAGAATTGGAACTGACCGGAATTTGATCTTGTGCAGGGCATAGCGGCTGGGTCACGGTAAGATCTTGGATGGACTTGACTTATTGTCGGGAATTGCGGAGAATTGATTTGTTCTTCACATCATAGGCCCTTGCTACCTCCCTCGAGAACCCCAACATGCTCTTGTCCGCCTCGCGCGACAAGACTTTGATCATCTGGAATCTGTGAGCGCCGTCGTGTTTCCCGACATTTAGCGGGAGGAGGAAGCACAAGAAACTAACAATCTGGTTTAGCACTCGCGATAGTGATATCAATTACGGTGTTCCCAAGAGAAGCCTTAAGGGCCACTCTCACATTGTTTCTGACTGTGTATGTTCCCGGCATCTACCGGAGCTGCAGATTGCTCTCTCTTACTGACTCTTGGCAAAGGTCATCTCTTCCGACGGCGCGTATGCTCTCTCTGCTTCATGGGACAGGACTCTCCGTCTGTGGGAACTCTCCACCGGTCAAACCACCCGCCGCTTCGTCGGCCATGACAACGATGTCTTGAGTGTTTCATTCTCCGCCGATAACCGTCAGATCGTGTCTGGATCCAGGGACCGTACTATTAAGCTTTGGAATACCCTTGGTGATTGCAAGTTCACCATCACCGACAAGGGGCACACTGATTGGGTTTCCTGTGTCCGTTTCTCTCCAAACCCTCAGAACCCGGTGATTGTGTCTGCTGGATGGGATAAGTTGGTTAAGGTGGGTTCGCTCCGTGGTGTTGCCCTTGGGAAAGCGGGGGGGAAGAGTGTCAAAGGATGCTATGCGACCCAAAGTATTTGCTACTTCAGAGACTTGCATCTAAAGTCAATGAGACAAACAATCACCAACGCACTGATGACACTCTTCCCACGATATCCTTCGCACCCATAGCTTCCCAACTTTGATCTTCAGATAGGCGACTGACAGTATAAAAAGGTCTGGGAGCTGGCGTCTTGCTGCATTCAAACCGATTATACCGGACACACTGGATATATCAACACTGTCACCATCTCCCCCGACGGTTCCCTCTGTGCCTCTGGTGGCAAGGACGGCACCACCATGCTCTGGGATCTCAACGAGTCCAAGCACCTTTATAGCCTTCATGCCGGCAATGAGATCCACGCTCTCGTTTTCTCGCCAAACAGGTACTGGCTCTGCGCTGCTACCGCCTCATCCATCATCATCTTCGACCTTGAGAAGAAGAGTAAGGTTGATGAGCTCAAGCCCGAATTCTTTGCTGTTGGCAAGAAGAACCGTGAGCCTGAGTGTGTCTCGTTGGCTTGGAGCGCTGACGGGCAGACACTGTTTGCTGGGTACACGGATAGTCTGATTAGAGCTTGGGGGGTCATGAGCAGGGCTATGTAATTGATGTTTTTCATGTGTCTTTCTCTTTCTCTTTCTCTCTTTTTTTTTCTTTTTTTCTTCCCCGTCTCGGGTCTCTCTAGCTTGTCTTCAATACAGGGGGGTTCGTGATCTTTTCGGAAGGGTGGAGGGGTTAAATAATCGGTTTGATATAAAACAATAAAAAACGGATATTTCCTCCTCCTAATTGAGTCTCCCAATTTCTCTACAGGGTGGATGGGTTGGTGCGTATAAAGTTATGATGGGCACATTACAAGCATGGGAGCCGGCCCAGGTCGGAAAGGGGGGTGGGTGTCTGGGGGTTATCATGCACAAAAGTGGCGATACCCACGTCCCATTACTACCTGTACAGACACAATAGTGCCGAAAAAGCACGGCCTTGGAGGGGGGAACGTTGGCGGAATCACCTCATCCAGTTCAACAAATCCAACAAACTCCATACAGACCATCAACAACAACCGAGTGAGCCCCCGTGACCAAGTTCAAGCCGCCAATTCCCTACCACCGAGAACCCACTCCACCCCACCAGCCTCGACAGCCCACCTCTCCAACCTCCCGCCAACATCTCTTGCATACCCCCGGCCAAAAACACAAACATTGATCTCCCCGGACCCCCACCAACTCGCGCGATCGCCATTCGCGCTGCCAATAACGGTCCAAGCGTCGTCGACTATCAGAGCCTTGACGTGCCACTGCCTGACCTCCCCACCACCGCGCCAATAACCCAAGTGCACGTTCTCGACGCCCGGGAGCGAGGCGACGAAGGCTCTCACGCAGGATTCCGTGGTGGAGAAGGGGGTCGTGGCGAGTTGCTCCAGACGCATCATGTTCCGGCAGGTTATTATGGTGATGCGCAGCTTTCTGGAAGCGGCCGAGAGGAGGGAGGCGAGGAGGGGTTTCGAGGTTAGGTTTGGGGTGTGAATTGTTATCGATGTCTTGGCGTGGGAGAGGAGGGTCAGGAGGAAGGCGTTTTGGGGGGTGTTTGGTGGGGGTTGTGGGGAGTGGGGTTGTTGTTGTTGTTGTTGGGGGATTGGGAGGCATGGGAGGAGGAGGGAGGTTAACGATCGGATGGAGGAGCGGATGGGAAAGTTTGGATTGGGATGGTGAGGGTTTGGGAGGAGGATTGTTGGATATTCTTTGATCTCTTTTAGGGCGTCTTCCTCCTCTCCTTCTCTATCTTCCTCACCATCATCATCATCCTCAGCTAAACCCGGCACCTCCCCATAATCCCCCCAAACGGCCCTGTAGTATGCCAAAACCGACGAGACAAACCCGCCCCCTCCAAACCCCCCACAACCCTCCCCCCAGCACTCCCAGCTGACATTCCCACTCCCGATGAAGACCGACCTCCGATCCACGACGCAATACTTCCCGTGCAGCACGGAGAAGGGCGGGAAGAACAAGCTCCAAACGACGACATCCAAGCCCCGCACCTCCCCACGTCCCGGCAAGCCCAACTCCTCCAAACACTCCCATGTCCTCCTCACCCTCCCCTTCCTCCCCCCGCCACCGGGAGGGAAGCTCTGCCTAACCTTCTGCCACGCCGACACGGAACTGAAGCATATCCGCACGCGAATCCTGCGGGATCCCGCCAGCGCGCGCGCGGACAACTCCCTCAGCGCGGCGGAGAGGATGGCCAGCGAGTCGCTCGCCGCCCAGAAACATGTGACGAATATGACCTCATGTCTCGCCCGCTTTATCGCCCGGGCCAGGTACTCCGTCTGCGACCTGCCCGTGCCGGCGTGGTAGGTCCTGGGCAGTGAGGTCGTCAGCAGCGTAGGGATAGGCACGGGCGTGTCGGGCCCCTCGCACAGGGTTCGGAGGAAGGACCTCAGAAGGCCCTCATCCTCACCTGTGAGGCTCACGCTTGGCGGTAGGGCCGCTAGGTAGCCTGTCAGTATCCCTTCCGCATCCTGGTTTTTGTCGCCGTCGTCGTCGTCGGGCAGTGGCGGTGATGGCATCATCAACAATAGATATGATAGACCATATATATACCCACCGATACTTGTACAGTACAGTACCGCACTCGCACAGTACTAGAATAGCGTGCAGGTCCGGAAAATGTATGATACTCACGCAAGCAGTACTCGAGCACAACACTCACAGTCCATCCAATCTTAAAAAAGGGTTCAGTCCAATTTACCCATTTTACCCAAGCCCTAATACCTGATACCCCAAGTACGGCACGTTTGATACTCGAGTACTCTTATGTGTAGAGCCTCAAATGACGTACGCCAAGAGTACCCTACCCACAAACACCCCATCAACCGTACTTGTAGACCCCCCAAATAATTAAATTTACCGGTAAATTACGCTATGATATGATTCGTACGGTACTCGAGCACCCGACTTTGACCTTCAAGCCGAGGTTTCGGGTCCGGTTGTGGTTATGATATCGTACTACCGGTACTGTATTTTGCACCTCACATCTCCCCCTCTCGGTCCACAGTATCTGTGAAACTTATGCGTGGGCTGGGGTGGAGAAGGGAGAGGGAAAGAAATGTTTTTTTTTGGGAGCAGGGGGGAGGTGGGGGGGGGGGTCCACAGACTACTGCACTGGATTGCGCCGAGGGACGGGCATCTCGGAGGGGAGGGCAAAGTGGAGAGTGGAAAAAGACTGTGATAATTCCCGGTAAACATTCATTTCCAGTGGTTTAGTCCACACACGAACTTCCTCCTCCCTGTACCGCATGATATGAGGGAATCAGACTCCCACTTCTATTTGGGTAATCAGAGACGACAGAGAGGGTGTATGGCTAGACACAGACAAAGCAGAGTAATGTAGAGCAGGAAAAAAGCACCCAGGACGAAACCCCACCATCCTCCCGTGTTCCCCGTACGTGGGCATAGGTAGGTGGGCAAAAAGAGAGCCAAGGCGAGTTTAAATTTTACTACAACAACCGTTCACCTACCCACGCACCCACCCATCCATCCAGATTCTACAAATAAACCCGCTTCAGATCAAACAAGGTACTGCAAAACAAACCAAAGCAGAAACTAGAAATCCCTGTGTATAATGTAGAACCAACCAGCTAGCCAGCCAACAAACGGGTATATCAACCAGCGCCAGTAGCAAAACAACCCCTTCTACACAAATACACATGCTCAAACAAACTTTCAAACAATGAGGCTCAATGACGCATAGCATCCAATCCTCCTGCCAACTCCTGTTCCAAGTTCGCCTCGTGCATCTGCTGGTCGTGCGGTCTAGGGGCGTCATGCGGTCTTGGTGCGCCGTCCCTCTGCTGCTGCGCCCATTCGTGATCCGGAATGTTTACACCCTGTAATGCCGCAATGTCTATGGCGGCGGATTGGGCGGGCTTTCTCCTGACTGCGTTGCGGAAGACGTGGACTTCGTTAAGAATCATTTTTCGCATGTCGCTGATCTCGTCAACCACCTCGAAGCTGAAATCAAAGGGAGTCGGACAGCTCGGTTCATCTTGGGCGTCGTGCCAGATCTGCAGGTACTCGTGTCCTAACGCATCTTCTACCGAGACCCGGGATGCTGGGTCAAAGGCCAGCATCTTGTCCAGGAGGTCCAGTGCGTGAAGGTTCGCTTTCCCGAATAGTTCTACGAAGGCGACTTTGCGCATGAAGGGGAGATTGCGGACATAATCCTGGGCCCTGGGGGATCCAATGCGGTTGAGAGTTTCTTCATTGGGAGTTCCGAGGTAGTGGAGAATCTGATTGAGCTGGTCGACATAGTCCCTGCCCTTGAAGAAGGGTCGGCCACCAAGTAGTTCTGCTAGAATACATCCAACAGACCATACGTCGACTAAGTGGTTGAATTATTAGCATACCAAGTCACCTGCCCCACGTGTGCACTGAAAGGGACGAGCAGTTCACCGACCACCTCCCTCCCCACCGGGTGTTGGTAACTCACTTGCTTTGGTGTAACTCTGGAAGCTCAACATAATTTCTGGAGCTCTGTACCACCGAGTAGCTACATACTCGGTCATGTATCCAGCATTCTCCTCCGGATCAGCGGAAAAGCCTCTAGCAAGACCAAAATCACAAATTTTAAGCTCGCAGTCTGCATTAACAAGAAGATTGCCAGGCTTCAGATCCCTATGAAGCACATTCGCTGAATGGATATACTTCAAACCACAGAGGATCTGGTAGATGAATGACTGGAAATGAGCGTCTGTCAAGGGCTGTCCACTGAAAAAACCCACGGTATTAATTCAACGGTCCCACATTTTGGGAGATGGGGAGACGACAACAAACCTTCGGATAATAGCAGCAAGATCACATTCCATGAGTTCTGGAGAACAAAGAAAGTTATCGAGTCAGCAGCCAGGGTCATTCACGAGGGGCCAAGGATTCCTCCCAACTCACCTTCGTAAAGATAAACCTCATTGAAAGCTTCTGGTTTCGGGATATCCATGTCATAGAGACAAGTGATCTATAAAAGCGTGAGGTGGTCCACAAGTGAGTAACGTTGCACCCCCCAAAAATACATCCTCCTCGCGAAGCAAGAGAGCGAAGGTTAACAGCATATTGAGGGAGGGGAAACGAACATTCCGATGACCTGCAACCCATCACCCGTAAAAAATTAGCCATTGAAACACCCTCATCTCTATCCAAAAGATAACAAAATGCCCGCACGGGAGGGAGCAAGCAGCCAGCCAGCCAGGGATGAGATGAGATGAGACGGGCAAAAAGTATAAACCCAGAGCATCAATCAATCAACATACCTCTAAAATGTTGAAGCAACTTAATCTCCCTTAAAGCCCTCTTGGCCAAAATCTTTTTAGAAAAAACATTGGTAACCTTTTTAACCGCGACGCCCTCTCCTGTACCAGCATTCGTAGCCGCACTAACAGTAATAAACGCATCAGTTATCCATCCATCCGCCCATGCAGAACGTTTGATCCTCCCCGGAAGGGAACATTGTCTTACCAGACAATCCCATAAGCTCCCTGTCCAAGCTCCTTTGTAACGGTGTAGCGCTCGTCGACAATGAAATCCTGATTAAAGACCTTGAAGACCTTGCGCCCAGGGAGAGTTGGGTCCATGATTATTGTGATGACGGACAAGGTAAGGAGCAAGGAATGAAAGCGAGGCTACTGGAGGTGGAGAGTGGAAGGAGAGAGGGAGAGAGGAGGTTTCAAAGGTGGGGTTGATGTAGGCACGGACGGACGGATGGAGATCTAGTGCAGAGAGGTGGATGGGTGTGGAGGGGGAAGAGAAGGGAGAAAAGAGGAGGAGGAGGAGGAGGACAAAATCGGGAGTATAGGTATAAGAATCCGAGAGGTGGTAATTGTTAGCAGTTGGGTAACTCACTCTCCTTTTGTAGATATTTGTATGATACAGCTACAACCCCTGGAAAGATCCGTTCTGGAAAGATGTGATACCTTTCTATGATATGAGAAATGGAACTCTTTAATTTTAAAGGAAACGGTAGAGGGGGGGGGGAGGGAGAGGTGATGGAGGTGATTGAGGTTAAGGTTTAACTTTATGGTAGGGTAGGTTCGATGGGTGGATGGCGGGGCTGGTGTAGCTCTTCTTCAGGCGAGGGGCAAGAGACGTGAGCCAGTTGAAGGAGGGGTTCACCGCACGCCAAGATACGGTAACCTTCAACAAAACATACTGTGGAGTATCATAACTCCTTACTTTCCTTCCAGATTTTCAGGAATTGAAAGGAGAAAAATAAATCCCTTTTCCGTTACAATTATTTGTGATACCAGTACAGGCACTCGAGATGGAGAAGAAGCAGAAAAGAAAAAACAAAAAAACAAAAAAAACGTTGAGACCTTATCACGGCACGGTGCAGTACAGTACCGGTACCGTTACAAGTACCTTACGATACCGGTACTAGTAACCCCGAGGCAGGTTACCAACTTACGCGCTAAAGGAGGGGCGAACCACAGATCGAACCTGAAAGGAAGAAAGAGCTGAAAAAGTGGGAAAAACAAAAGAACGCCCACACAACCCCCAGCTTCATCATCCATCCACCCATCCACCCATCCATCATACCATTCCATACCATCATAAGCGCCCTACCCCCCTTGTTATTACGATATGATACGGACGGCATTTCACTTGCAAAGTGCTTGTACTCGAGTAATGCGATCCCGTCACTCACACCGGACACAACCTCCCTCCGCCAACCAGACCAGACCAGACCCAACCCAACCCCAACCTCAACCAACAATGTGAGCGAAGAAGGTAAAACAGCCAACGGTTCACAAGGAAATGTGCCGCCCATCCCGAAACAAGACAGGGGAAATTGTGTCGATGGCGAGTGATTCCCTGTGAGACATGTTCCTGCGTGTTATGATGATATAATATTACGGTACCGGCGCCCCTAACCTTACCCTTTACCCCGCTCGCCCGCAGGTGCACGCACGCACACTCGCTCGCTCAGGTGAGGGAGTATCATATGTAAGACCTACCGATACTGCACGGTACTACTGTACCGTACCGTGGGCGTGTTTTAGCCATCGCATGGGATAACACCGGTACAGTAATGAGGGTCAGCCGCGTTAATCGAGTGATTGCGCGTGAGAAGAATATTATACGGTACGGTAATTTACTGCTCTAGCATGATACCATCACAGAAAAAAAAGAAAGAAAAAAAGTAATTGTAATGTGGGAGAGCACTTACATTTCAGCTGTCAAGGGGGAGGAGAGGGTGAGGGGGCGAGGCTCTTGTGTGTCCACAACCACTGTACGAGCACAGGTACCCACCGGCCATAATCGTAGCCTTCCGTCTCCGTGGAGTGCGTTTCCGTCATTCGGTTTCTAATATTCGTCGTCAACTGCCAGTGCGATCGTCACATTAGGGTACCGGTATAGGTAGGTTACCTGTACCTGCTTTGAGACACGATTCCCACCCACGTCTAGCAACATCGATCAGGGCCGCTTGGTTATCCCTATCACCGTAAGGCTGTGGTATCCTACCGGCCGGTATTGGCGGGATTTATTATGGCTGCCCCCTTGGAATCCGAATCACACGATCCTCTACTAGCTCGAGCAGTGGGGAGTAGTCTACCTGTACGAGCACTATATTCTGCTCCACCAACTGCAATAAGGTACCCAAACCGGCTTCTATTTTATCCCGATCCATCCAAATTCTCCCCATCTATCATAATATAACCTCGCTCCAACCAGACAATAGTAAAAATAGAAGAAAGAAGGAGATGGAGGGGGAGAAGAGAATAAATATAAAATGAAATATATAGGCATCGGCCAGTATATACATATATATACTATCCGGGGCTGTCTTTCCCTCAACCGAGACACGCACACCGCAGATATATATCCATCTATCCATCCCTCTGCTTTCCAATCATCTACCCCTCAAAGATCACGGGCGCCCCCTCCCATTCCCCCTTGTTCCTCTGCTCCCAGTATCCCTCCTTGCCCGTCTTCATCTTCCAAATCTCCTCGTCGGCGTATTCCCGTACCTTGACGAACCATCTGGGCTGCCAGCTTTCCCCATTGTCTTCCATTTCCTTGCGTCGTACTCGTTGGGCCTCTTCAAGCTTCATCTTCACGGCCTCGGCCTCATCCAAGCGACCCTCCTCCACCATGCGTTGGTCGGGCCGGTGTCTGGTGTCTGTAGCGGGGATCTTGCCCTGCTCGATGGGAGTCATCTCATTGAGTGACGCGGCGAACCTTGTGAAGCCGTAGCGTGTCTGTGCGTTTTCCACCAGCTCCTTCACTTCCCAGAATTTCCTCGGGGAGCCGCCGCCCTCAAGCACGAGTTTCTCTGTCCATTTCCCGGAAAGGCTTAATGGGTAGGGGTTGCCGGAGGAATCGAATGCTTGGATTGTCACCTCCTCGCTGCGTCCAGCGAACATGCCTTTATTGGCTTTGAAGGTTACTGTGGCTTTCTCGCCCGTGTTTTCGTGATGAACAGTCATGGACCCTACGGGCTCCACGTACTTTTCTCCGGCAATGATGTTACGGAGGAAGCTGGTTGCGATCGTCCAGGAAAAGGAATCGCCCGTCGATGGGAAGTGGATTCGAACTCGGCCCGAGGTGTTAAGTTCTGCGGATTTACCCCAGAACTTCTGCGTCGGCATGGGGGATTGAGTGAATGTCCAATTTTGGGAATCCGCTTGACAGGCCATGATGACTGGTCGATGTGAGACTTTCTCGGCAATGAAACGGAAACCTAGAGGATGTCAGGATTCCTAGATATCAGGTGCAGCTTGCCCAGGAGCATTCTTACCCTTATCCTCTCTAACCAATTCATACGTTTCACCCAACATCGGATTAAATGGCTTGCGTATAGATCTCTCCTTTACCCTGCTGTTCGAGAAGGAGCTAGTAGCGAATGCAGCAACATAGAGCAGCCGTTCCCCGTTCTCTGTAGGAGCGTTGGTAGCTTCATCCAGTAGCTCCGAATATTCCAACTGCTCCGAAAGTCTCTGCAAAAGACTTGTTGGCTCATTTGCAGAAACCGGCATTGCAATGGTTGAAAGATCTTTTCCGACCTAGATCAAAAAGTTAGCCAACAAACTGAGCAGGAGATCTCGTGCTTACGTTTTTCCTCAGAAATCCAATCAGGCTAGGCGGCATCACGGTAGCGGCAGATACCAAAGCACGTCGCTCTACGGGTTCCAGAGGTAAAGGACTCAAATCTCTCATTCCATCCGCGCCCGTGACACCTTCATCCTCAAGCTTAGCGGCAGATCGCGGAGGGTGATCGTTATCGAAGCCCTCCTCCTCCTCATCACTCTCTTCATCATCTGTCACACGCGAGCTTGGCGCCCCGCGTGCGGAGCTCTCGTCGTCATTCAGAAGCACAACCCTACCTTGTTCCCCTTCTACCATAGCGTCCTCGGCATCGAAGAATTCTTCTGATGCTGAGGATTCTATGCTAACTCTAGAAGCGACCATAGGTGACGCAGACTGATGTTGCGATACGCGATGGCTTAGCCACCTCCTCTGTTTGTTCTCTGCAACTAATTTGGAGAAGTCCGCAACAACTGAATCAAGATCTGTAAGGAGTGCATTGAGATGTCCGCTCATATTCTGTCCTTGGTGGAGCGGCATGTTCCCAGCCACTCCATTAGGCAGAACAGGAGCCGCCACCGCTGTCACGGCAGCAGCAACTGTAGATGTGGGATGCAGAGATTGCGAAGAAGCCGAAGGCGATGTCCCACCGCTCGCCTTGCGTTTCCAAAACGGTCTTCTACGCTCCTTATCCTTCTGCTCCACCAACGAATGGACAGACATTGACGAAGTGCTCGCCTCAGCACCAGCTTCGCCAATTCCAGGCGGTGCGGGTTGCTCGGCAGCAGTTGCGAGCCTTCTCACAGCATCCCGAACACCGGCAACACGTCCAACCAAAGCCTCAACCCCCACCCACCCCCGGTCTTCCATTACTTGGCTTTGGGTGTTGACAGCAGCCGACTGTTGCGCATCCGGTAGAGGCATGTGCTCATCACCGGTGGTACCGGCCTTCATCGCATGCTGCGCGGCCTTCTCCAGGGCAGACTTCCATTGCTCCCATTCCCGAAAAGAATTTGCCCTTAGATGCCACACCTCGGCTCCGGAATCAATACAAATCTCCCTCTCCTTCTCGCTCGCGCTAATCGCAGCCAAAGATAGTGGAATAGCTCCACGAAGCGCCGAGGACTCCCGATTCAAGTAGTATGATAGGGTTGAAGAAGTGAAATCCAAGGAGAAAAAGCGGCGGGCGTAGCCCTGATGCCTCTTGCGCTTACGCTTCTTCAAGACACCTGTGTGGAAGCCATGTGCAGAGTAGACGGATTCCTTGTCATGAGTGGCGCCATCCTGCCCATGCACTGAGAATGTTTCGACAGACGCGCCAGGCCCGTGTCCCGGTCCCTTTCCACCCAGCGATGCAGTCGAAGCGAGGGTTTGGGCGGAGTCAAAGTGGTGGAGAGCATGCGAAGCCGGAGGAGGGGAGGTAGAGGGGTACGTCAGCAATACCAGAGTAGCTGTTTTCGCGACCTGCTTGGAGAAGGTATTGTCGAAAACCTACACCCGAGCGCAAGTTAGTGGTGCAGTTGCGGAATGCAATCCCGGGGGTGCCCATACCAGCGCAAACATGCCACCTTCTTTTACCTGATGCGTGCCGGTTGTAACCTTCTCTGCCTCCACCTTTCCATGCCAGTACACATCTAACAAGCCTGCTGCGTGTAACCGCTCAACACAGTCCCCTTCACTACTCCGACCCCTTGAGCTGCTAGGCCGCCTTATACTAGACGTGTCATCGGACCTAGCAGTAGGGGGAGGTTGGAGCTGCGAAGCTGATTGATTCCCCGCTCTCGGATGCCTAAAGATTCCAAAATTCCTGCATTCACGGGGTCAGTTATCGAGGGTTTCGGATGCCCCGATGGCGGATATGGAGTAACTAGCCACCCACAGTGACTTCTTATGAGGCTTTATGCTCCACGATATGGTAAAATTCTTTGAGCACTCCACCCAGCGAATGAAATACGACTGTAATTCCCACAGAGTAAGCAAGCCAGTCCATCAAACGGAACGCTGTCCGGTGTGTGGAGTTGTGGGTTAGCTGGGTCGCAAACATACCCTGCTAGGAACTTCCACCTGTTCCATGGCCATCCTGAAGGTGCCCCGAACCGAACAAAGCTGCAGAGGCTAGTTTGTGTGTTGAGATTACTGAATCCGTATGCAAGCTGAAGACAATAATGCGAGATTGGTTGGTTGGATTCACTATGCCGGCGAAGGGGAGGGAGGAGGAGGAGGAGAGTTAGGGAACCCGTACGATAGGAGGGCTACGGTACGGTACTCGTGTTGTGGTGGCGCCTTCGCGGCAGTGCTATCATACAAGGAATGAATTGGGGGAAGGTACAAGTACGGTAGCGTTAGCTCGTAACCCGCGCCTGTACTCGAGTACTGTAACAGTGCTCGAGCACGGCACCGGTATAACGTACCCCACGGTGAGTCGAAACACACGGTGACACGAAACGACCAAACAGGGTGTAGCTTAATACCAGTTAGACTGCAACGGCCTCCAACAATAATCCATACTTAACAGAAATCCTCTCCATCTTCGACCTCAATACCGATATCCAACTCCCTCCTACCATGCTTTTCCCTTTCATCTTCTCCTTCTTCATATTCAATATCCAGATTATTCAACCCTTCCAAGGCATTTTTCTCTTCTGCTTTCAATTTTTCATATGCGCTCTCCTTCTCTTTTACCAATTTTCTATACCTTTCCATTTTTTCCTCCATTTTTTTCTGCTCATCCCCCAGCTGAGTTGTAGACTTATACCTTTTGCCTCCTCCTGCTTTATTGTTTTCTCTCTCTTGCTGTTGCTTCAATTTATTTCCTATTTCTGTACATTTTGTTTGTGTACTACTATACAATCGTGTATAATATTCAAAGCTATTTTTTGCTACTTTTATTTTACCATTGTAATTAGCTTGAATTATGTTCTTCACATCACCAGCAGAGATAGCAGTTATCAACCTTAATTCTTTTCTTACCTTTTTTTCCGGCATTAATTCCATCTTCGATAAGATACTGTCGTTTTTTCCGTTCGGTTTCGTGATGTAGATTTAGAGTTGAGCAGTGGAGAGAAGCGGAATAAGCTAGAAAGCGAACGGCGGCGTGGGCTTTTTGAGATCGTGGAGTGTTTCGGTAGATGCTTTTTTCGGCAAAAGTGGCTAACTCAAGGATCTCCGACTTGGTTTTCGGGGTTCTAGGCTCATATGATGGAGTTGATGTCTGAGATTGAATCTGGGTTGGCTGATAGGAATCGTATCCAGGAAGGGTTTGTAGTATCTTTAAGGCATTTAAAGGATAAATACCAGTAGCCTCAAAGCCACTTAGGATATTTTTTTTTGTCAATCCTCCCACTCGTGCCTGCTGTAAAACCTCCCAAAAGCTTTCCTTCTTCACAGTATGGTTCCCCCACTGGAACCTCTCCCACACTATGTCGGTCCACTTCCATTTTACAGGACTGAATACGGCAACATCTAATGGTTGTAGCTTGTGTGTAGTATGTGCAGGTAGGCAGAAGGGGACCATTCAGTTTTGTAGGCAGTAAAGAAGAAACTCCCATGTAATATAAGAAGAATGCCCATCAAATAGGAGCATACGGAATTGAGATCCGTAATCAGCCTTAATCGCCGTATTGGTACCTGGTCCAAAAAAGTGCTCAAGATATCGTAGACTTTTCTTGCGATCAGTCCAGCTGTTCTCAGAAGAACTAACAAGTACCCCGTCGGGCATCGAAAGATGGCCATTTTCTACCCACTCTTCCTGCACGCTATCACCTTTAAAAATAATCATAGGCAGCAGTTCAGAGCCATCAGCACAAATGGTCTCTATAACTGTTACCATTTCTCTTCCACCATCAATCACATGTAAAGCTCCATTATGTTGTCGTAGATCTTTACCATAGATTACTCGGCAGGATTGGGTAAAACCCATAAGATATCCAATTTCATCTAGGTTGTAAAGATTTTCTGGTGCGATATTGTACTTCGAAATAGCTGCTTCAAACTTTTTAAATTAGTTATGTACAATATTTACTGTATAACAGAGCACATACTTGCTCAAAAAACTTTGCAAATATAAAATAGTCTTGTTGTGCCTCTACCCGAACATGCTCAATCTGCCTGCTGTACTTGATTCCCAGCTCTGGATGCCGTGCTAAAAATGACAAGTGCTAGTTGTAGCCGATAGACCGACCCTTCTCAGAATCACGTTTACTGCATAGGTACATCGCCATTTCTTTCACTAACGAAAATGACAAGTGCTAGTTGTAGCCGATAGAGCGACCCTTCTCAGAATCACGTTTACTGCATAGGTACATCGCCATTTCTTTCACTAACGATATACGTGGTGGGAAGCAGTAGTCTTGCATCTCAAGACACCTAATATTTCATTAACTAACTATATCTTATTGCTATAGAGGTTTATTGAGTTGATACCAATTAACTAGAGCCTGCTCTTCACCTGAAGTCAAGTATTGTTTCGATTCCTCATGCTCGCTCATAGGAATCCGACCATGATCCCGATGCCAGAGTGTGGACTTAGGAACCTTGTAATCGCAGACCAATTCATCAAATGTGGGAATACGGCGATTTTCTTGTCGAGCATAATTCAAATGAAGAAGTGCCAGTTCAATACGTCGTTCACTCGTGAAATGCTCATCGGTAAAGGACATTCTGTACCACTTTGTTGCTTGTACAGACTATCAGTTATGTTTCATTGTCTTTGGTTGCTACATTTACTTTAAGCTGATTGATAGATGACGAAAGCCTCGGATATCCTTCCATTGTCACGCTAGTTAAGTTATTAAGAAAACAGGTTTATAGATACTGGTTAAGCACTAGTTGTTTCGTGTCACCGTGTGTTTCGACTCGCCGTGGGGTACGTTAGTAGGTAGCGCAGGCGTACCGTACTCGCTCGCACCGTCGAGCAGGACAACACGGGTACTCGAGTACGGTACAGTACTCGTACAGTCATTTTTTTCCCGTCCCCTAAGCTTGCCGGGGGAAGGGTGTGGCGGAAACAATCAGACTTAGCGGTTTCCTCTCTCCTCCTCTGCTACGTCTTCCTTTTTCTTCTTTTTCTTTTTCCCTCCTTGCGGGTCTTAGCTAAGGGCTGAAAGTCAGCCCTTCTGCCATATTTTCTCCCTCAACGCAAAAGGGGAAATTCTGAAGATTCCAGCGTCATTCCCGATTCCCGGCATTCCGGTTCTAATGGTCTTGGAGACATCTTCCCGGGTACCGTACGGTACTCGTACTGTAGGTCAGCATTGAAGAAAGTCCTAGCTAGCTGCAATAGCTTCCTGTATGGTACGGTACTCGAGATGGCTTTGGGGGTAGGTAAGGAGTATGACGAAGTTCCGGCTGACAAACACTCTGATATTCTGTTAGTCACATTCGTCATACTTTCTCCAACCCCCGAAAGGCACATCCTAAAGCACTCTGCACGTATGATTCAACATGTACACTGTATGACGGGGGCCGTGTCCTGTGATGTCCTCTCGACATTGTCGACTTGCCTCCACCTTTTCTCTCTCTTAATATTGCCGGTATTCGCATAACAATGCCGGTACAAGTGGGATGAGAGGAGTGGAGAAAAAAAAATTGTCAAGACCGGGGGTGGGAACTGCCCCGCAGAGTTTTAGGGTTTCTCCAACGAACCGGATACGGCAGACCGCAGAAAAAAAACAGAAAAAAGAAAGAAGAGGAAAAAAGCCACCCCGCAGTTACCGAAGTTCCATCATATCACTTTCCACCAAAATCTAAAAGTTGATGGTACGAGTACAGTGCAAGTACCCTTCCCACAGTTCTATCCGGAACACAAGCAGAACAGCAGTTGACACCCCGTTCGCAGGCAAGGTTGTAATAAATAATAGGCTTTCTGTTTACGGGATAGATCAAGTGTTGATCAGCGGTGATCCTTCTGCTCAAGGTGGGACGATCTCGGTCAGGGTCCGCAAGATGAACAACCTAATAATTTACTCGCACTCCTAAACCGCGAGCCAGTTATCATACAGTATACGTACCTTACAGGCGGGGCGCTCATCCCCCGATGATCAACGAACCAAGCCTCCTCCACACGAGCAACCTCGTACTTTAGGGTATCACCATCAACCAACGATGGACGCCAACACACGCGACCCCCATGAAAGTGACGGTGATGCTTGACGGCTGAGCTGCACTTCTTCTCCCCCCCAAAAAAAAGAGAAAGAAAGAAGAAAGGTTCGCATCATAGAATACCGGTACGAATCACCCAGTCCTGCCATCTACTCCCTCTCCTGACAAATATCATACCACCAGAACATCCCCAGACAATCACCCACACACGTGACACAAGTGCTACGGAAGGTAGTTTAGGGCAGGGTACCGATACGGCACCTCGCATCATAGTTCTGTACTCGTTCGTTCAACCCCGTTCGTCGTCACCGCGTATCGTGCCCGCGTTAGGGTTGTCAGCCCCCGGAATGTTACTTTACCGTGCACCCCGGGCACCGAGGGGAATTTATTATATTATACTCGTACAGGCATGGTTATTACATTTTCAGATGGATTTAAAAAAATAAAAATGCTCGCGAATTGCTGAGGGGAGGGGGTGTTCGATACGACTATCATACCATGCCGTACCACATCATCAGGATTTGAAGCACCTGATAAGTCATTTGTGATGACTGGAGGTTGTATTGTACTGTAGGGATGGGGGTGTGTCACGTTTCACAGAGGAAGAAAGAAATGGAAAGCTCTGCCTGATGCTTTCCTGTCTGTTTTCTACTACCGTAGGGGACGAGGAAACGGATATTGGGACGGGGATTTGGTTATTGACTGGGGCTGGGGGTTTATCGTCTGTTGGATACGGTATCATAGTCAGGGTCTGCGGGCTACGTGGTGTTACTCGAGTATCATACATATGATATGATATGATATAATCCTCTCATCGATGTGGTACTGTGCTTGTGCATTTATACCACATCATACCCAAGGCGAATCACATCCCCAAAACCTCCACCCCGACCAATCCGCGAACAATCACATATTCTCACTCGAGCTTTGATACAGCGCCCCTGTTTGGAATGGTGGCTTCTCAAGATTGTATCATACGGTACGGTACTCCTCGGCTTTTATATCTGACTCTAGAGTATGAGGTAGCCATTACCACTCTTGTCTGTGGCTTCAGTCTACGCGGCATTTGGCAGCGTGACTGCTAAGAGTATGTAAATTGGTATAATTTAAGTCAGCAGTTCTGGCTGAAATGGTGACCAGAGCTGGTTTCTGGTTTTTGGCGGTTGATCTGTATCATAATTATTCGTAACAATCCCCCGCCCCCGATTATCTGGTGAGAGGTGTGATGATGTTGTGCTGGGTGCCTTGTTGTTTAACTAACTGTCCCGTAATGTTTCACTGTGGTGTAATGTCGTAGTCTGAAGTAGGTGCAAGTATGATATAGCTCGCGGCATGGTACGGGAGAAAACCAATTCATATATACGGAAAGACGCTGCCAGACCGTTATAATTTGAGGGAAGTTGGTCTATCTTATCATACCCGGTATGGACTTGCAATATCATAAGTATAGGGGGCTTTGAGACTTTGTCGGGTTTTCTCCATCGGAAATACTATACCCTACCCCGTCCAGATTCGCGGTTCGCTGCTGATTGGCTGGATCTTGGTGATTCCAGCATACCAGCCAATCAATCAATCAATCAATCAATATTTGGACGGGGTACGGGTATGATATCGTAACTTATTTGGAGAGAGGATAACTGCCAATAATTATAGGTAAAATTCTGGTGAACCCTTCTAACCGTAACCTGTCATGTAGATAGGCGGACATATAGCCGCTAAAAAAAAAATTTGGGGAAAAGTCATGCATTGTGGTTGATGGGCTGGATGTGCCGATGCTCGCCAACTGGTGAATCGCAATGACATACGGTAAATTTAAGTTAAGCCTGAGAGAGGGTGCGCTCTGGCGGTCTTGACCTCCAGGTCCACCTAAGAGCTATTATCCATCTATAACCATTAACAACAAGGGAAGTACTCGAGTACAGGAGAACCTTTAAATAACTGCTTCCAGATATCGTGCGCTTTTTCCCACGATTCGTTCACCAACATACCTAATTAGAAACTATCAATATACCGGTATTCAGCAACAGCTTTTCTGCCCATACCATTACATGGTACAAGTCTCGCCTGCCCTCCTTCCTATACTCCTACCATACAAACTTTGAAGCCTCCCCTAGCTAACAAAAAGTTCCAGAGGAAAATATTGTCTCACGGGTATATTCCAAGAATCCATGGAAAAAAGAAAAAAAAAAAAAAGACTCTACAGGAGGAGCTTTTGGGATTCTGTTCGTAGGTGTTGGTATCGCAAGTTAAGATATAATATCTGTCCGTCGTTTTTGTGGCACGGGTGGGGATATAATAGGTTCTACAAAGTAAAGTTCCGTAATCATACGCACATGGACGCTGTACTACTTCTACCAGGTACAGTACAGTACCGTACAGTACCACGATACGGTAGCATTATTCGTACAGGAATTATTTGTTGAGGTTCCCCTCCGGGCGGTACAGTACCGTACCGCAACGGCGTTTATGTATGAGAGCCCCTTGGCGCGCTGCAATCCCCCTCCCCTGGGCACTTTTGTTCGTGGGGGCGTTGCAGGGAACGAGGGACCGATAACTAATCAGTGATATAATATTGTAGCGTCGACTTGTGCTCAATCTATTGATATGCAGAGTACGGTACGGTATGATACCAGGGAGAATGTTCAAGTTTTCGTACCGGCACAAGGTGGGGAGTATTTTGCGAGTTAACCTATATTACGGCGACGCGGCCCTCCCGGCGGCTGTACTCGTACTTGTAGAGGGTATAATGTGTTGTGGGGGGGAATTTAGCCTGAGGTGATGGGTGATAGGATGGAGACGCGTTGTGCTGGGGAGGGGAATACGGTACTGCCAGGGTGATTTTCGCGGGGTTTGGGCTCAGTGGGAGCTTGGAAGGGAAGGGGGGAGTCGGGGATGAGGGGTAACGTATTTTACCCAGTAATGGGTCACCCCCCAGTAATGGGTCACTCTCCATCCCCACTCATATTTAACAA